GAGGCCGGAAACGTCAGCCTTCCTGCTCCTCTGATGCTGCTTGGCCTGCTGTGTTCATACAGCTCTACACCTTGTTATCTCAGATTCTCCAGCATCTGCAGTTCCTACTATCTCTGAACCTGTAGACAACACTGCTGGATTGTGTCAAATTGTCTGCCTGACAGTTCACAAATCAAGATGATTCGAATTTTTGAATTTTTTTTTAAGTAATCAATCGACCAACTTATATATAACCTATCAAATTTCCAATGCCATTAAATATTTATCATTTTTGATCATGTTTGAAATTGAAAAAAATATAGTTCATTATACTTTGGTTAAAGAGAATAATCTGGAATATTAAATGAAACAGTAACTTTATTTGAGTTGGTGATATTGAATCCATTTAAACAGAACTTCATTTTTACTACCAAACTGAGGGAGGATTAATGTAAAGTATGAACTCTCATATTTGTAAGATTTTACTATGCAATAATTAGTGTAGTTTTCTTTAACCATGATTGTCTCTCTTTCACTCTGTCTTTTCTGTCTACATAGTGCGGCTCTGCTGGGAGTGCTGACTTTGATTATCAGCTGGAGTTCACTTGGTCTGGAACTGGCAGTGTCAGTGGTGAGTTTTTCATTTACTTGTGATAACTGATGGTATAGATAACTAGCAAACATGATACTGATTATAGAATTCCTCCTGCAGACCAGACAGACTTACAAAGACTCTTCCATGGTTTTAGTAATGATTATTTTGCTAAATGAATGGTCCTCCCAAAAGCACTCTGTTGAACTTCATGTTGAGCTAGTATTGCCCATATCTTGACTTGAAGCAGGTCTTGTTTTTCGATCACTTCTGTGTTTGGTGACTGATATTGTCTCCCACTGAAGCAATATCTTCACTCTAAATTCTGATCCTTGCTTTCAAATTCTTCCATGGCCTGCCCGTCTTTGTAGTCTCCTCCATTCCCCCACACCTTCAAGACATCTGCGCTCTCCTTGATCTGGCCTAATGTATCCTGATTTTAATTACTTTAACATTGATAACCATATCTTCAGTTGCCTTGTCCCTGATCTCTACTACCCTCTCCACACCACTCAGCCTCTTTACCTTTAAGACATGCTTTAAAATGTACCTCTTTGACCAAACTTCTGGTCATCTGACCTTACTCTCCTGATGTGGCATGGTGTGATGCTTTGTTTTAATATTCATCATGGAATCCCAGTGTGGAAACAGCCCCTTTGGCCCAACAAGTCCACACCGACCCTCAGAACATCCCACCCAGACCCATCCTCCTAATCTACACATCCCTGAGCACTATGGGCAATTTAGCGTGGCCATTCCACCTCGCCTGCACAGCTTTGGACTGAGAGGAAACCGTAGCACCTGGAAGAAACCCACGCAGACATGGGGAGAATGTGCAAATTCCCACAGACATTCTTGTGAAGCATCTTGGGATGTTTTATTGCAGTTGTTAATGTGTAAGGCAGTACAAAGTTTTTCACAACTATCAAAAGGATACCAATGAATCCCGATGGAATAATAGTGTACATAACTTCAGATACTTGACCTCTTTTCTTCGTTTGTCTGTCTTTGACTGAGAAGGCACTAAATATACATATGTGATATTGGAACAGTTTTTTCATTTGTGTGCTGATATTAATTCAATTTTTTTCACACAGCAATTGTCTAAATCTTGGCAATTATTAGTTCAGTCCAGAATCATAAAGGGGGTTTGTGGTGCAATGGTCATGTTCCTGCTTCTGGACCAGTAGGTCCTGGTTCAAGCCTCACCTGCCACACCTGTCTTACTACCTTGTATGTTGAGTTTTGAAGTTTCTGTTTGAATTTATGTTTAGTAATTTACTTTGTTTAAACTTATCAGTGGTGAGACACTCATCATTTTTATTCATTAAAACTTTGTGGAAACATTTTTTGCAAAAATTGGAATAAACTTTAGCATTTGGTGCAATCAGTGAACAAACTAAATGTACATTTTTATGAATTTGTACTTCTTAAATTATTTTGCCCTCGTTTTTAAGACCTAACTTTATTCCACTACTTTCATTTATGATGCAAGTCAATGCATGTTTAAAATTTACTTCCTGCAAATCTTGTTTACAGTGTGTATTTCAAACTGATACTGGTTTGCTTAATCTTGTTATACATGTTGCATTGTACTATGAAGAAACTTGATAAACACTTGGGTGAAGAATTTTTCTGAAGTTAGTTTTGAGTGGAGAATTGCTAGCCAGAGATTGTCACTGAGGTTACGTACAGTCTTGTTACAAGAGCTAGTTGAGGCAGAAATTATTGTATGAGTTGAGGTCAAATTAAAATGTTTTAGTGGAGGAAGGCAGAGGATTATGAATTGAAAGTAAGGCAGTGAAATTCACTTGGATTGTGGCATAGATTCAAGGAACTAAATAGTATTTTTCTTCTTTAAGACTTTATGGTATTTACCTTACTACCCAATATTTATTTAAACAGTAATGTGATCTGATGAGCATGCGTATACATTTTTAGAATGTTGTAGATATTGTGATTGTGCATATGGTAGTACACACTTTTCCCAATGCTTATGAGAGGTGATTTAAAAATCTCTGTCTAGGAAAACCAATGTTCAAACTATAACCAATAAATTTTGATACTTGAATGAACAGAATCTTGTTATTACAGTGGGCCTTACCAATTCCTGACTGCAAAATCCTCTCTCCTTCTGTTTTTTATTCCACATCTCTGAACCTCCCCTTGCCTAATGGAGGTACAAGCCAAGACCTTTTTTTAATAACTCCTCACTATTTCAAAGAAATTTCCAACACTTTGCTTGCTTCCTTTCAGTATCAACCCCCATTGCCCATTTTCCTTTCGTCCTGACAAGCAATTCCCAAAAGTTACATTCTCCATCCCTTGATTTCCCACATTATTTTATTTCAGAGTTCATGCCATGCAACTGCAAGATTCCACACTGTCTCTCCGCTCTGCCATTTGAAAAGCATTTCTTCCAGACTCTGAAATTTTCTCTCCAGTGACTCTTGATATTTAAGGAATATCCTTCCATATCCCACATTCTTTTGTTTTGTAAGCCCTAACAATCTCTCCTTTTTTTCCCTCCGTATTCTTTGACTTACACATATATAGGACATAGAAACCCTACAGTATGGAAACGGGCCAATCGGCCCAACAAGTCTGCACTGCCCCTCCGAAGCGCATCCCACCCAGACCCATTCCCCTACCCTTTCTCTGTAACTCTGCTTTTCCCATGTCTAATCCACCTAATTTACACATCCCTGGTCACTACAGGCAATTTAGCATGACCAATTCACCTAGCCTGCACGTCTTTGGACTTTGGAAGGAAACAGGAGCACCTGGCGGAGAATGTGCAAACTCCACACAGCCAGTTGCCCGCGGATAGGCTTGAACCCAGGGCCCTGGCAGTGTGAGGCAGCAGTGCTAACCACTGAGCCGCCATGCTGCCCAATGTCTCATTGGGAAATTCACTAACGGTTTCATTTAAGTCTAACAGTACTTGAAGATGGCTAATTATTGAGATAACAAGGTGTAGAGCTGGATGAACACGGCAGGCCAAGCCTTCTAATGTTTGTGCAGCAGTTCTCTAGCGGCACAAATACGCTGAATTTCCCCTGCAGAATAAATGGCAACTGACCAAATGTAGTATTTGATCCCTTTTCCAAATTTTGTTTCAAATTTGAGTTCGTATTCTTGCTGCTTGTAAAGGGAAACCTACCTCAATTTTGTCATATTTGGGTATTCTGAATTCTAGCACTAAACTGCCATTTCTAACTTGAAATAGTCTTAGTCAAAGACAGCCTACACTCTTCCTGAAGGAAGAAGGAAGACCTGAAATGGCAGCTTTCCTGCTCCTCTGATGCTGCCTGGCCTGCTGTGTTCCTCCAGCTCCACACTGTGTTATCTCTGACTCCAGCATTGGCAGTTCTTACTATCTCTGAGTGAGTTTAACCCCACTGCAAAGTCTCTTCTAGGGATGCCTACCTTGAAGAAGTTATCCTCCTCCCTCCGGAAAGACCTCAGTGGATCTCTCTCTCACTGTAACCCTCTGGTAATCTCTTGGGCCCTGAAACTGCTCGACCACATACTGAAGGAAACCAGGCCCTACAGGCACATTGCCTTTCTCAGTACCTGCCTACAGAGCCAGATCATCCCAAATGAACTGTAATCTACATTCAGGCCATCCCAATTTGGCCCTGACTGCGACAACTGCTACATACAGAATGTTCACATCCTCCAAAAACGTTTTTCTCTGCGACTCCTCAAACACACTTCTGAAGAAGGATCCCGCCCGAAATGTCAACTTTCCTGCTCCTCTGATGCTGCCTGGCCTATTGGATTCCTCCAGCTCCACACTGTCTTATGTCTGACTCTAGCATCGGCAGTTCTTACTATCTCTTTTGCAGTAAATGCCAGGATACCATTTGCCTTCTTTATTATATGCTACACGTGCATACCCACTTTCTGCAATTCATGTACAAGGATATCCAGATCCCTCTGCACTGATGCACTTTGAATCTGCTACCGTTTAAATAATAATTTACCTTTTTATTTTTCTGTTGATAATGGAGAACCTTTCACTTATCCACATTAAACTCCATCTGCCAAATTCTGGCCCATGTTCTTAGCCTATCAATATTTATCTGTAAATTCTCTATCTCCTCATCATAGCCTGCTTTCCCACCTATTTTAGCATCATCCACAAATTTTGCTATGTTACACTCTGTCCCTGCTTGCAGATCACTTGTATAGATTGTAAATAGTTGACATCCAAGAACTTTGTGACACCTGACTAGTTACAGTTCACAATCTAGAGAAAGACCCATTTATCCCAACCGCCTGCTTCCGGTCGGTCAGCTAATCCTCTGTTCAAGTCATTTCTCTATCCCAACCCCCTGTGACCTAACCTTCTGGATCAGTCTTCTATGCGGCAGCCTGTCAAATGCCTTGTGGAAGTCTAGATATACCACATCCACCAGATCCCATTTTTCACCTTACTGGTTACATCCTCAAAGAACTCCCAAGTTTGTCAAGCACAACTTGCCCTTTGTGAGACCGTGCTGACACTGGTGAATTGAGCTTTGTTTTCCCAAGGATTCCGTAATCTCCTTTATGATGGACTCCAGCAACTTCCCCACTACAGAGGTCAAACTAACTGGTCTGTAGTTTCCCATTTATTGCCTATTTCCTTTTTTGAATAAGGGTGTCACATTAGTGTATTTCTAAACCACTGGTACATTTCCAGAATCCAGGGAAATTTGAAATGTCATAACTAATGCTTCCGCTATCTTTGCTGCCACCTCCTTTAATACCCTAGGGTGCGGTGCACACCGTCCGGCTTCGGAGACTTATTTGCTTTTAATCCGATCAGTTTAGTTAATACCTTCTCCCTAGTTATAGTATTTTCATCAAGTTCCTCTGTAGTAATTGCAGCTTTTGGAAAGAAATTATTGTCTTCTACTGTGTGAGAACAGAGACAAGATATTTGTTTAGTGCCTCTGCCATTTCTGAGTTCCCCATTATTACCTTGCTATTTTTGTCCTCTAAAGAGCCAATATTTACTTCTACTATTCCATTCCTTTATATATACTTAA